AGGGCACAGCGGGGAAAGAGAACGGTAGTCTAAGCACGACGCCAAGAGTGCCAGATGTTTTGAGGTTGGCCAGTTTCTCACTCTGCTACCGATTGCTCCTCGTCGAACTTATCGCTTGCTGTTCTCCAAGAGCTGCAAGGGGGAGTTGTTGAAGCTGGCAGGCAGTCTGGTCCTGGTGTACGGGCGTGACGTGCCGGAGCTGGCGGAGGGGGTGAAGATTATGCTGGGCTGGTGCGACGCAGCTCTGAGCGACAACGCCAAAAACCAGAAGGTGTTGTACGTGGACGGCTTTTGGAGATCGAAACATGCTTCCTCTCGTGGAACATGGCTGGAAGGTTGTACCGTAAGGTTGCGAGTCGGCGCACAGGGGGTGCGAGCGATTTCCAAGCGTAATTTTTCCACGGTCACCACTGTCGAAAAGGGCGGTTTTATAAATATCTCATCGAGAGCTTGCCTGAGAAGTATCAGCTGGCGCGCGCATCCTCCCGGTTGTGGAAAAATTGCGCTTTGAAAATCGATCGCACCCCTGTGCTCTGTGCTCTAGCCGACTCGCAACCTTACGGTAGTTGGGCAACGGTAGCCTTTCATGTTTGCGAACGGTACCATGATCCTCCTGTTGCGGGTGCTCTTGCGGTCGAGGTGGTATGGTCGCAACAGAGTTTTAACGCTTTGCACTGGTCCGAATGGGTTGTGCATCTTCAAAATACCAGAAGCTTTTGCCTCTATTCTCTTATTCACCTGTAGCATGCGAGGCGCAGGGTGGGCAAGACGCGAGCAGTGGCGCTATTGTTTGTTTTTTCATGCGTTTCGTCGGCTGAAAGTTCTTCATGTAGCCCAATTTATCGTAAGTCTATGCATGCCACCCATGCACCTTTCCCTTCAGCGTCTTATGTTGTTTTGACAGCTTTGGGGAGAACGTGGCGACCTCTTGGGGTACAGAATATGCTCGTGTGTCGTGCAAGCGCATTTGTTCGTATCCTGAGAACTACATTCCAACCTCATGTCGGGCAAAAAACCCCCAACGAAACAGTGTGTTTAACTCTGTGTGGGCCTCTTTCTTCTGTCTTTTTAATGCATTGGATATCCGGCGCGTTCGTCGATGTTTCGTTTTACAACACACCAGCTGGGCAAGGCCCTCCAACCGCAGATCGTAGCCGGAGCGCTTGCTTGCATCGACCTCTTGTGCTCCGCCGGGTTCGAGGAGCGGTACACCTACACGGCCGGGGAAAACGCCTCCAAGCCTAACACCAGGCTATATATGTGAGCGTTTCGCATGGCAAACAACGAATATATATGCATACAAAAGCGCTTCTTTCTCCACGCTGAACGCGTGTGGCTGTTTTAGAAAAGAAACGGGAGAAGGTGACCAAGACCAAGACCAGCACCTCGTTTTGTTTTTTTTTGTGTGTGCGTTCAGGTAGTTAAAAAACACGGCTGTCAAGCCGAACTACCCCTTGCGATGTAGGCAAACGTTGTAAGTGTGTTTTTTCGATATTTTGCTGGCAATCATGTTTCGGGTCTTGCTGTGAGAGCTCAGACGGACGACGTCAAGGCCGCGGGGAAATCGTGTTTTGCTCGGTGATGATCCGTTCCCTTCCCCGATGCCCCAGTAAACCTGTGTGTTCCGAACTGACGTCTTGTGATCTGTCCATTTCGTGTCTACTCGTTTTGTTTTCCCACCCGCGGATGAGCTACTTCCAAGTGTCGCGTTTCATTCATGTTCTCCCATCAATCTCCCCGGTATTAAATCGCGCTTCTTGTTCTGGTCCTTTTCGTTTCCATCATCGCGTCCATCTCCTTCTCCTTGAAAAGAGACGGCGTGACTCCTTCACTTCATCCTCGTGCTCCCTCTGCACAATTCACTGACATAGCGTTCGACATGTCAATTTCAACCCAACCGCTTGTTCATCCCTCTTGCTGAACGCGCGCCTGCTTCTTGTGTTGCGCGCCTGCTTCTTGTATTGAATAATTTCGTTGTCTTTTCGCCTACTTCCCTCAGCTCTGAATGTTCAAACGGAGAAAACCTTCTGCGGTTGAAACACGTGATTTCCTTGGGTCTACATATTCCATGCCCAGTTCCCCCGAACTCTTACGAGCTTTGTGGGTCTTTTTTTCACGCCGGCTGGCTCGTCGGCAGCTCTCCGTGAGACGCCAACGTGACCAGTCCATGTCACTCCCCCGACTTTGGGACATCCCGCTTTGTCTCCCCCGAACCCAACCCGTGCCCAACTCCCTATGGGTTGTCCCGCCCGTCTCCCCGAACAGGCACCTGCTGAGGGCGGTGCAAGAGGGTTCGGCGCAGGACCTGAGCCGGTTCGAGGTCCCGGCGAAGGCGCTCCGCTTCTTCCGGCGGCACGCGAGGCTGTTCTCGGACAACATCGGTCCGCTGTCGAGAGCCCGGCAGCTCTACGATCTTGTGAGTCGACGTTACTGCATACCACCACATGAGCGCGAAACCTGGTGTGCAGAAGATGCCAGCCACCACTCGTGGGCCTCTCGTTTTGCTCGAGGCTCGTTCGTCTGTGGGCTACCCGACCTCGAGTATGTAGCATGCAGTGTAGGATTTCCAGCTGGGCACCTGCGCTCGGTGTCAGTTTCTGTGCATTTTTATGAAGCCTGGAGCTTCGAGATCCCGGGTTTTATACTGTGGCACGTTCTGTAGCACCGCACTCCCCTTCGTGACAGCGGTCTTGCAAGCCTGTTGCTTCCGATATGGCATTCGATGATGTGCTTCGTGTATTTACCAGAAAGCAATAACGGCGTGCTCAGGGGGGCCTCACCTTAGCAGCGGTAGTTACGCGGTCGCCTGGTCCCATGTGGAGAAGATCAAGCCCACGACAGTCGTCTGGACCACATTGCACAATCGGGTTAGCGATGGGCGACAAGCGACAAGCACCTCGAAAGAACTATCACACATAATAACGTGCAATCGGAGTACGGTGACAAGAGTCGTCGTCAAGTTGGGCTTAATGTCAGGTGATCGTGTCTGCTCCAGCTCCGTTACCCCCCTCTACCGTATTTTCCTTTGTTGTGTAGAAAAATTATTAGCAGCAATACAACGCGCATACTCGTCTCTCGTTACGGGTGCGTCGTTTCCTTTACCTGTCTGTCCGTCTGCGTATCTGTCTGTGTCTGCCCTTCCTTTTCTCTCCCTGACTGTCTATCTGTGTGTGTGTGTCTGTCGGTCCTCGCCCTCTGTGCCTCTGTCATTTTATCTCGCTTTCCTTCTTCTGTCTCTATGCCTGTCTTTCCTCCCCCCTCCCCTCCCGCTGTTTGATTTCATTTATTTTTTGCTCTCGGCGTCGGACGTATACAACGAAAGATGGAACAATGTGCAACCGCCGGCGGCCGGAGCTCGAGACTCAAGCTCAAGAAGCACGCCTTGCCCGCCATCGAGGCTACCCTGAGAGAGGTGACATCAACCATGCCCTTATCGTCATTGTGCGGTGGTCGTTTGCTTTCTTTCCGTGCGGTGTTGTCCACGACCAACAAGAGAGGAAGCAGTGTTGGTACTGCAACATGATGGAGAGTATCTGAAGCAATCACGGTTAGCGATAGATTGCGCCAATGGCGTGGAATGTTATTCACACACGTTTCAATTCCCTGGACAAATTGATTTGTGGGAGTGGACGTCGCGCCACAAACAGGGTGTATGTACCGCTTGTTGTAATCATGTGCTGTTCGATCTTTTGAACGGTACCAATTGTGAAGCCCATCGTGCTAAAGCTTCAAGTGAGTGGCCTCCAGCGATGATGCACCTCATGTGCATTGGATGTGCCGTTGCGCAGTTGAGGTCAGTTTGTTCCGTCTATGACAACAAATATTTATTTTTAGCTGTCCCGGTGGAAAACAGGTAGCGCAATATACAGCTGCTAGGCCGGCGAACAAGGATACGCTTGACAAGCTTGAGGGCACCTTCCTCAAGCTTCTGGAAGGCGCGAAACCGTCTGCGGAGGTGCGGTACACATACGCCGTTGTAGTCCCGAGTTTGTTGTCTTCATTTTTGGTGTTGGTGGTGTTGTCGTTGTTTTATTTTACGGCGGGGTGAACCCGCACCCTTGTCTGGCCCCCCACGTTTCACCGTACACCGCAGTTCTCCGATTAGGTGTGAATTCTTTGACCCTAGGCTGAACTGGTTGAGGTACAATTTAAGAGCCAATGAACCATGCAAGACCAACCCTGGCCTGTTTCGTCTGAACGTCCGCCCTTTATCTTCTACCGAACGTAGGTAAATGTTTCGGTGGATGTGACGCGGTGGATCCTAGCTCACCGCCACACCTCATTTGAAACTCGATGGTGTAACTGGTCGTGCGCTGCTGCGGCACTAATGAACACCGCTCACCTTTTTTTTTCGTGTCACACGCGAAAACGAAAAACAAGCAGGAGACTACAGTGGCTCTGGCGGGGCTTGCCGCACTCTCCCCCGCCGCGACGGCACTCAGCTCCTACCAGGATGCCGCCGATGTAGCCGACCGTCTCCTTGTCTGCCTGGACGCCGCGGTGAGGGGCCAGCCCCGCAGCGACGTGCCTCCTTGTTGCTATCTCAGCGGTTGTTGCCGTAGCAGGGCGGGTATTTTTTTAGAGCGCTGGCGGCAGCACAGCCGGGCAAGGACGGGCTGCTGTTTCCCCCGCGATATTTTTTTTTTGGCGTGGTCGTACGCCCGGTCCATGTCGGGATGGTGAACTTGTGGGAGCGGGCCTCCTTGCGATAGCGGTGGGCGTGGACTTGGTGGCCTGGTGGAGTTTCGACCGCTCGCAGTCCATTGCCCTCCAGAAGCAGGGAATTGTAGGCACTTTTATCCCTTGGTCTAACGTTTGTTGGCCGTGGTCCCTCCCCCCTGACTCTCCAGATTTGACCCCTCTCTCGTCAATTCGGTCGACCACATTAGGTTAACGTTGCTGAAAAGGATGCACTTTCTTTCTGGTGAGAGAATACATCACGGAGACGGCGTCCCGTTCTCTCGCACCATGCTGCATCGCGGAGCACGTTTACTGGGGTGATGCCTCATGATCCGCACTCGACCGGGCTTCAATGCTCCCCCACCCCGTTCCCTTCGCTGAAACAGCTTGCCCAACTGGACGAGGTGGGATTCGCGGGCGAAGATTCTGACGAGGAAGACGGCGGAAATGACTCGCCCGGCGCCAGGTGAACGGCGGCGTTTTCGAGGTTCATTCAGCCACCCTCGTGGCAGCTTGAGCCCGTGCTGAACGGTCTCTCCTACCCGACAGCTGAAATTGCAACCTCCATGGCAGAAAATTATTTTCTGGGGGCATCTACCAAACAATGACAAAACTAAACGCTTCCCAGTGAGCACCCTCTGCGGCTGGTTCCGTGACACGCTGTCCTTGTTCGTGAGTCTGCACCGCTAGACTGAGCGCGCTACACTCCTTGTCTGAATTCTGCTACAGCACACGGCATGCGATAACTCTCTTTGCCCCGTGCGCCGGTGCAACATCTCCTACTTTCGCCGACAGAGGGACAGACTCCTACGGGAAAGACCGGTCTCTGAAGCTCGAGGCCCAGTTCCTCCGCACCCTGGCGTGCAGAGCGGGAGTCCTGGGAGGCGTGTTCGCACGAGCGAGGCAACAAGGGGACGCGTCCCCGGGGTCAACAGGAGGAAGCGACGGCGTCGTGGGAATGGACGTCGATGAAGAAGGGGGCCATGTCGCCGGGAAGGGAAAGGGTGGGGGGGTCAGGGGAGGCGTGCCGGGAGGCATGGGCGGAGCCGTCCCGGGACACTTGATGAGGCGCCTCCAGAGCCTGTCCCTGCGGCTGGTGGAGAACTACGCGCTCCTCGGCAACAAGGACAGGGGGCTCGCCTGCCAGGGGCTTTGCCAGCTGTGGCTGGCGTTTTCTGGGCCCGGGCAGGGCGACAACCTCTCCCGCATGGTGTGTACCACGGAATTGAGTTTGCTTGTTGGCTTGCAGGATATGATACTATAACGGTTGTCATTTGTCATTTCATCCCGGTACTGCTGTTTCTGGTACGGCTTTCCACGTGGGTTTCTTTTCCGTGGGTTTTTGTCCCCTTGACCACGGCTTTTGTAGAGCACTCCGTTTTGTGCCTCCCCTGAGGCGTTCGGTCGATCCGTAATGCCTGTTTTTGACTACATTGAACAGTCCGTGGCTCGTTGAGGCTGCATCGTTATTATCTGCCCTGCCTGTGCCCCCCCCCCCCCCCCCCCCCCCCCCCCCCCCCCCCCCCCCCCCCCCCCC